TGAATGAACATATATAATATTATAAGTAAATTTTTAAATAAAAAAACTAATTGTATAAAAACAAATTATATTATAAATTTATAATATCAAATAATATAGTTATAGTATTTCATTTTGCTAACGAGTATCTTGCCGGTTCGAAATCTTATGCTAAAATTGGGACCCATCCATCCCGCAAATATGTTGGGTGTTTTCTAATTTCTCACTGTTATTTATACATAATGAGTTTGATATATGTTTAGGCAGCTTTACAAGATTTAGTTGACCACAAGTTGATCAGTATAGGAACCTACAAAGCAGACTGGAGGGTTATTCCTCGGGATAGTCACTTCGATGCCCAAATTAGCAATATTTTATATTTTGGATTCTTTTTAGAGAAAGAAAAATATGATAGAGAGAAAAGAGCTCTCGAAAAGGTTTTTTTACCTTTGAGAGGTGTGAGAGTATTTATAAGCTCTTTGGAAGTATTTTATATGTGTTGCAGTTCTATTGATCAATTTGAATTTATTTGAGTGTATATGAGTCCCATGGTGACTCATGCATGTGCTCCTTTGCATTTGGGTCTTATGGACCTTTATTAATTTATGGGTTAGTTAGATTACTATCCCAACAATATCAAGGGGTTATGGCATATCCAGATTCCAGCATATTCTTTCTTCAGGAACAAAATAGGCAATTGTCCCGGCTTGGTACGGCGGTGGAAGGTCCAGCTCAAAAATAAAGCATATGCTTTGCACAGAAAATCTCAGTTTTGTAGCCACAATGATGGATAGTTGGACTTAAAAGTAACCATGACTTGGAAGTTCAATCAATTCATTTAAGAAGTAGTCATATTATGAATCAAAGTGGACAACATCTCCTTTTAAAAGTTTTTTTGATGGAACTTAGAAGCTAAAAATATCGATAACTTGTAAATATGATCAAACACAAGGTTCTTTTTTTAAAGAAAGGCTGTAAAGATTATGAGTGAAATTGGACAATAACTTAGTAGTTCATTAAAAGCTAGAGAAGAAGAGAACATTGCAGCTTGTTAATTGTTGCAAAGGAAACAAAACGATAAGTAGTTCTGCTAATGGAAAGTGCTATCATGACAGAAGTAGAAGGCCATTAATAGTGAGTGTATATTTTAATGGACTGGACCAATTATACACAAGCCCTAAATGCAGTCTTGTACCAGACCATGTTTTGTTGGTGGTCTGGGATCAACAGTTATCCAAGTTCCAAAAGCCCATGTCACATGTTGTTAAGCCTACCCACTCCCCCGGGTCCCCCATCAAATCTCTACCCCTAACCCTTTTTCGGCTGACTGCTGCTTTTTCCTAATCCAAAATCCCCAATTCCCACCAACCCCCAAAATAAAATTGTGAAAATTATAAAGGAAAAAGTATTGTGTTGTTAAATTGTATTATTATAATTATTAAATAAGATAAATTTCTAAATATTAGGGGATGAGGTGAGTTTCAGTATTAATATTTATTTTTATTTAATAATTTTTATTTTACGGTATAATTTAAAGTTTAACACCAGGCAATCAGTTATAAAAATCGAGTCAGGGTACAACCACTCAAAGCACAACGTTTGATCATACGCTTCATAGAAATAAGAAAAAATTTCTGCGAAATTCAGCATTTTGTTTGGGCGGTAGATAGCCGTGGAGTTGGTTGGTGAGTTTCATTGAGTCAATCCACCAACCCCAACTACAATTATTTCATTCCTGTTGTTTGGAAGGAGAAAACACAATCCCAACTTTCTCGAGAAAGTGAGAGAAAATGGCGCAAGTTGGCAAATTTATCAGTAATGGATCACAAAGCACCTGTCTTTTGCCCAACGTATCAAGATCCACTAAACCCAATTCCGTATTTCCAGTCTCGTTTGGATTATCTTCCCAGCTTAAAGGGTCTTGGGGCTTGGTTTTGAATGAGAATGGGAGACGGAGCACCGTTGCTGTTCGTCCGTTTAGGGTTTCAGCATCACTGGCAACAGCAGAGAAGCCTTCCAGATCATCGGAGATTGTGCTGCAACCTATCAGGGAAATCTCCGGTACCGTCACGTTGCCTGGTTCCAAGTCGCTCTCCAATCGGGTTCTGCTTCTCGCTGCTCTATCTGAGGTATGTTTATATGTATGGTGTGCAAATTTATGCACATAATTGTGGTTTTTATTGTTGTTAGAGAGAAATTGTGTTTGGTCTTTGTGGGTTTGTTTGGTTGAGGAGAATATTGACAAGCAAGGAATGAGCTCTGGATTTTAAGCTTTGGGTTTCTTTGTAATTGTTTTCGTCTACCTGTCCTTTCTATCTTACGAATAAATTAGCCTGTAGAGGGAGTTCAATTGCACTTTCTGAGTGGTGATGGTTGCCACAAGGTAAAGGTTCTTCCTTGTCTATGTGAATAATTGCATTGACACTATTGCTGCTGAATCAAATCTTTTTTCTTCAACGTTATGAGAGAAGACGGTTTTGAATTTTAGGCGTTTAATTAGTTTAGGGTATTGATTTTTGTTTTCTTTCTGTTGCCTTACCGAGTGGTTGGGTTATTTGGTTGTGCCAGATGCCATTTTCATGCATGTTCCTGTCATATGTAAACATGTTGACTAATACGTGTACTTTTAAACTGTTTTTCTTCTTTACTAATTCTTTAGCTAGTAAACAGTCTTGCAAGGATTTGTTTTCACTTTCGTTTGCTAAGCAGGGAACAACTGTGGTGGACAACTTGTTGAATAGTGATGATGTTCATCACATGCTTGTTGCTTTGGGAAAACTTGGACTACGTGTGGAAGAGGACAGTGCAATGAAACGAGCAATAGTGGAAGGTTGTGGTGGTCTGTTTCCAGTGGGCAAAGGATCAGGTTCTGAAATTGAACTTTTCCTTGGGAATGCAGGAACAGCAATGCGACCTCTTACTGCAGCGGTTACAGCTGCAGGTGGCAATTCAAGGTCTGTAGAGTATTTTCTTTTTAAACGGTGATTTGGTTCTGCTAATATTTGATAATTGTGTCGTTTGAAGGAGAGATGATTCAGTATTTTTCTTTAAAAATTTTTTTGATGATCTTGGAAGTTATCTTCATGCCCTTCCGTTGATGATCTTGATTGTCTTTGAATATTTATGTCTGGTCAAGGGTCGAATATTTTATAACCAACAATAAGCCAAAAGAGTTAAGAGGAGAAAACATTGTTCAAGTTAATCAATACTTGTAAAGGCATGCAGTAGTTAAAATTTGAATGCTACTTTTTGACTATATTATGTAAAGGGGTGCTTAAATTGATGCAATTTCTGTACAAAATTTCCATCCTTGAGCCCTGTAGTCGTTTGATAGCTTGTCTTGTGCATTGCAACAATTACTCAAGCTAACACATTTATGATTTACAATCTTTTTTAGTTACATACTTGATGGGGTACCCCGAATGAGAGAGAGACCAATTGGAGACTTAGTTGCTGGTCTTAAGCAGCTTGGTTCTGATGTTGATTGTATTCATGGCACTAATTGCCCTCCTGTTCGTGTAAACTCAAAGGGGGGCCTTCCTGGGGGAAAGGTGAGAACGGCATTTATATTGCCATCTTGTGGCTTCATATTGTTAGCCAACTGTCTATAAATAAATGGATGCTTCATTATCTATTTCAGATATTACTTTGTTAAGTTACATGTAGCAGGAAGAACATTGGATATTCCTATGAAATTCTTGGAATTATAAGAGAGGGGGAAGGAATTTTTCTCTTGTTAGCATATTCACACTTAAATATATTATTCCTGAGTGGAAGACTTTTGCCTCTACATCATGCATAGAAATCGTATTCTATCTATACAGTTGTGCTACATAGCTGTCCTATCAAGTAACTATAAAAAAAGAGTTCTATATGAGAGAACCTTGGGTGTTAGCACATTATCACCATTGTTTACAAAACCTTTAGCATTTCTCCATTTGCAGGTGCAACTCTCTGGATCAATAAGTAGCCAATACTTGACTGCTTTGCTAATGGCAGCTCCTTTGGCCCTTGGAGATGTGGAAATTGAGATAATTGATAAACTGATTTCAATTCCTTATGTTGAGATGACTATAAAGTTGATGGAACGCTTTGGAGTCTCTGTAGAACACACTGGTAGCTGGGATCGCTTTTTCATCCGAGGAGGTCAAAAGTACAAGTAGGTTTCTGTGATGCATTTTTATACATGGAGCTGCACCCATTTGGATTATCTGGTTGCACTATGTGATAAAATGGTAAATCTGGCAGGTCTCCTGGTAATGCTTATGTTGAAGGTGATGCTTCAAGTGCTAGTTATTTCCTAGCTGGAGCAGCAGTCACTGGTGGAACTGTAACAGTAGAAGGATGTGGAACTAGTAGTTTACAGGTATTTTCTTTTTACTCGGAGGGAAATGGTCTTCTGTATTCCTTGAATGTCTTCAAAGTCCCTGAACAAGCAATATACAGGCATCATTTCTGCCATTGTAAATCATTGTTGAATTGTTCACAACCCATTGATTCTATCCTCCAGACTAATCTTCATATACATCAAAATTTTTCATTGCAAAGAGTTATCACATTAACATCTATTAGAATGGCATTAGATGAACTTACACTTCTCTTCTTTTATTGATCAAGGGAGATGTAAACTTTGCTGAGGTTCTTGAGAAGATGGGTGCTAAAGTCACATGGACAGAGAACAGTGTCACTGTTACTGGACCACCACGAGAGGCTTATGGAAGGAAACACCTGCGTGCTATTGATGTCAACATGAACAAAATGCCAGATGTTGCCATGACTCTTGCTGTAGTTGCACTTTTTGCCGATGGTCCCACTGCCATAAGAGATGGTATGGTCTTTGTTCTCTTTCTTATTTTTCTCAACTTGGGGACCGATATAATTAAGAAACTAGGATCATACACGACTTTCGTGGATCATTGCTGGCTAACTTTTCTTATCCAAATATTCAATAACACCTTGACAATCGGTTTCCATGCTCTTCAGTGGCAAGCTGGCGGGTGAAGGAGACTGAACGAATGATTGCCATTTGTACAGAACTCAGGAAGGTAGATCATTGTGACCTCATCCTCACTTGAAAAATTCTAGAGGTGTCTGCTAATTTGGAATTCTTTCTCCTTGCATTAACATTTTCAGTTGGGAGCAACAGTTGAAGAAGGACCAGACTATTGCGTGATCACTCCACCTGAGAAATTAAATGTGACCGCAATTGACACTTACGATGATCACCGAATGGCCATGGCATTCTCCCTTGCTGCCTGTGCAGATGTCCCAGTTACCATCAACGATCCAGGTTGTACCCGGAAAACCTTCCCAGACTACTTTGACGTCCTTCAAAAGGTTACAAGAGTTTGAGCATCTGTTCCCCTTCACAAACGGAGTTATAAATAAGAGAGGGATAGATTGGGATTTGCGACTGTCACTAAAATCATGATGGGGTAGCAATCCAATAACTCCAATCTGTAATCCGTGCTACGTTGTATTCTTTGATAAATTTATATGAGCTTCTTAGATTTCTCTATTTTGTAATTTAGAGACCGTTTGACAAAGCTTTTTCTAGAGTTGATTTGATTTTTAGCGAAATTTATAAAATCTTTGCTTCTCATGCTTTATTTATTTATTTTTTTTTATTATTTGAGGAAAAACTTGATTTTTAGGGAAAATTTTGCTTATAAGCAAGTTTTGAGAAAGACAACAATTCTTTGCTTCCTTTAAAACTTGCATTTAGAGAGGATGTCGATTGGTTCTCTCAATCGGAAAAGAAAGTAATTCTTAATGTGGAGATTACTAAAAGAGTAAGATCATGCATTGCAGCCTGCCATTTCCATTTTCTTAATTTATATGTTTTTTTCTTAATTATTTAGTTTGTGAAAAAAAAGTGTGCAGGTCCATGTTACATTAACAATTAACAGTAAGAATGGAACATGATGCCAGCATGGCGAGGTGCGCTTTGTCTGCCATTTTTTATTATCATATCTTCACATGGAGGTGGGTGGCAGCTGAATTGCCCATTTTATTCTTAAATTTCTTCCTCATAATCATAACTAGAGGTTCAAGTCCAACGATCAAGAAATTTATGAAACTTTGGGTTCTAAGATCAAATTTTTAAACCTAGATTGAGTTTTTTCTTAAATATATTCAAAGGATTTGTCTAACTTGTAACATTAGTATACATGTTAAACTTTATTAATTATAAAATTTGTGATTAATTTTATACAAATTTTTATATCATATTTTTTTTATATAAATTTTGAATATAAATATTATATTTTATTTCAATTTTACATTTTATATTTTATTTTAATTGAATCCAGTATAAAAATTTATGCAGAAGTAATTAAAAAAATTACATTTAATGAAACTTAGGGCAGAGGTCAGAAATTTCATATTTAAATTGTTAAGAGGCACCATCATTTTGGTTAAAATATTAATTTAATCTCTCAACTTTTAGATGTATACCAAAATTCACCTTAAATTTAAAAAAGTACCAAAATGATCTTTGAACTTTAATTTTTAGTATCAAAATATTCTTTTTGTTAATGAAAGTGTCACGTTACTCGTTATCTTACTATAAAATCAATTCTCTTTTAAAATATTAATGATATGTAAAATGAAATAGTTATATTTGATGGATTTGGTTTTTTAACAATTTTTTTTAGCTAGTTTGAAGGGATTTGATGAGGGAATTTGTGGGTCAAGAGTTTGGTGCAATTCTTGAGTATCACCCTACTTCTTTTCTCACAAATTCAACAATGTTTACTTAAAAAAGATCCACATTATGTTAACTTTACATAAATTGCAATCTAAGATAACAACTACACCACAACCTTTCAGAAAGATCTTCTTCCTTCATTCCAAAGGCTGTTTGCATTCTCTGAATCTGCCATTGTTGAAAAGAAAAATGAAATTGATTTTCAATCATTTAAAAAGCACCCTTTTAAGTATTAACTATCAAAACTGGGTTTATAAGTGACTAATTTTGTGAAGGTTTTTCAATTTAGTGTCTTAGGGCATGTAATAAATATATATTTTTTTTGCATTTAACATAATTTTTTTTTTGCATCAATTTTACATTAAATAGATAATTGCTTACCTTGATTTTTTATTTGATCAAGAATAATTATCCTCCTAACTTAAGTTAAGGCTATTGTCCCATTTTAAATAGTTAATACTACACCTTTTTAATGTAATTGTTTATTATATCCTTATATTACATTTTTTTCTTAAAATTTTACATATTTTTGTTTCTTAATAAATTAAAAAGTATAATAGTCAATTAAAATAAAAATATGTGATATTAATAATCAAGAGTGTGGCAATAACATCACCCCTAACTTAACCTATACTAGAAGAACTTTGGTTAAAAAGTTCCCATTCTACTCTTTTTGTCATGGTGAAGCACTATCTTATGTTTATCTTTTTAGCTTAATTAAAGGTAAATTATTTACTATAAGACTAAAAACTAAAGAATTATCATTAATTGGTTTCTCCAAAAAAAATCAAATGCTGATAATAAGGTAAATAAACAAACAATTTTACCAACTACTGTACCATCCCTTGCATCAATTCTTTTTTTCTCATATAACTATGTATGTGGTTAAAATGACGGAAGAAAAGCTAATGCACCATATAATTGTTGAAATAGTCACTATGGGACAAAAAATGAAAAAAATAATAATCAAGAAACAACACAATAATTGTGAAACATATGGAGTAAGCTAGTAATTGCAAGTTTTTTTAGTAATAACCCTAATCATAATTATCATTACTAATCTACACTTAATGGGGGAAAATTCCAACTCCCAGCACTCGGCGTTTAGGCCCACTGAGTTTGTATCACTATTCCCTTCGCCCAAAAATTGTAGTAACATGTTCAAAAAAAAAAAAAAAAAAATCCGAAGTCCCAAATTCCCACAATTCTCTTCCTATTTTTAGCCGTGTTTGTTATATAAAGTAACTTTTCAATATTTATCCAGAAAAGGCTAGGGATAATTTAAATTTTTTACATTTAAGTTCTATAATAAATAAAGAGTAAAATTGACATTCTTAATATTATTTTTACTGACATATTTCTTATTAAGTAATTTTTTTTAAAGTTAAACCTCCAATTTGATCCTTCAATTATTATACAAATCTTTGATTTTGTTGTTAAACTAAAAAAATTTTTGATTTGGTTTTTACTATTTATCAATTTAGTTTCAAATTGGACATTTCGTATAAAAATAGCTAATGTGTCTCATTATTAATGTGACGAGTGATTATTATATAATAGTTTTTTACTATTAAGTAACATATATATCAACTGTTTTTTTAACATAACAAAATGACTAACTTGAAGCTAAATTAGTAAACAATAGGGACCAAATTATAAATTTTTTTAGTTTATGAACCAAATCAAGAGTCTATCTAATAATTGAGAAACCAAATTAAACATTTAACCTTTTTTCTAAGTTTCTTTTGATGAAAAAACTCTTTTTTTTTCCTCAATTTTTCTAATATGAAATTCACCTAACAATTTTCTCCAACTTCCTCTATATCAAACCTCATATTAAATATTAACTGGGCCTTTAAATCCAATAGTTCGACCTCAAGTCTTAAGTGCTTGGGTGAGGTGGTTTGCGTTCTACCACCGTCGTGAACTCTATCAAAAAATGGCATGATGGCCGTGTGCCTCATTTGAGGGGGTGAAGTGTTCATTCGATCTGAAAACCAATTGCTAACAATTAACTTATACTAATTT